ACTTGCCCATTCTTTGTTAAAAATTAAGCCCTATTTCTCTGCACTGCAGCGCTGATCTATGACAATGATCCTGAATAGTCTTCCTTATCAGGCTTTAACAAGAGGCATTGAGTAATTTTCTTTCATACCCTAACTCCCAACAGTTTTTCAAGCATATTAGACACTGTGTGTTGTCAATGTTACTTAACGTGGTTAGCGTAGGATCTAAAACCAGGTAGCCCAGGCTCATGTCCCAGAACTACTCCTTGTGCCACCTTAGACAAGTTTAAGCCTCAGTTTCTTCACTTGAAATGGAGCTGGTGAGACTAGTATTTTCCTCCCAATGCCCTGTGAAGTTCAAATGAAGTTCAATGCCAATCATGGGTTCATGTCCCGGAACTACTTCTTGTGCCACCTTAGACAAGTTTAAGCAACTAAGCCTCAGTTTCTTCACTTGAAATGGAGCTGATGAGACTAGTATTTTCCTCCAAATACCATGTAAAGTTCAAATGATGTTCAATGCCCATCATGAGAATAGACTTAATGCATGTAAACTAATATGTATAGTTAATGGTCACATTATTACTGTACCAGAAGCTATCCATGTTTAGAGGTCAATGCTGTAGAAGTATTGATCTGATGATGTTTCTCTTTGAATAGAATCTTGTTTTTTTTTTATAATTTAGTATGATATGTTCCTTATCTTTTCAGTAAGTATAGCAACAGTTAAAAATTTCAATGACATTTACCTAAGAGGCTGAGATAATTGAAATTTAGCTTCCTTGAAAGACAGAAGTGAGCTTAGTGAAATCCCAAATCCTATGACTCAAATCTGACACCAGCCTATGGAATAATCATCACTGTGGTATCACTCCTATGTTTTTCAGTCTCCCACAGCCTACATTTGCATGTGGCAACATAATTTCAGGTAAAGCAATGTGCTACCGTCTCCTTCCTTTTATAGAATTGTTGATTCTTAATTCAAATGCCCAAATTATTCATCACTCATGCATTGTTTCCTCTAGCTTGAACAATGTATGGAGCAATGGAGACACAAAAATGAACCAGACACACTCATAGTGGGAGACACTATTATATATCACTATGATATCTGTAGTAGAATCACAAGATGCCAGGGTGGCTTAAATAAAGGGGTGTTCAGCCACACTTTAAGGAATATAAATCAAAGCTAACTTAGTTACCATTGGAGTATCACTGATTTTTGCTGCTAAACTTTCTAAATTTGCTGCTAGTTTGGGTTGATAGTCTGTATCTTTTTTCCATCGTCTTCCTATTTGGTGTACATCTTGAGGATAAACTGCCATACCATTACAGAGCATGTCTAGGTGAAAGCTGGATTGAAAGGGAATAAAGAGAGAGAGACCTTCCCCACTCCTGTCACATCTATGGATCTTAGAAGCTGAAGTAACACATGGAATAAATTTGTCTCATGTCAACAGGCCAGAATGTCATAGCTGATGGAAGAAAACACATCTCCACTTCGCAGTGCCAGTGGAGGCAATAGATTTTATATTAGGAAATGACTATTTCTGTAGTTGTCCTTTCAGTCGGAATTTTAAAAACAATTGCCAGAGATGGTGATTAAAATATGAAGCAATCGCCAGCCTATAAGTTAGGTTGGTGACAAACTATTAAACATAAAATATTGGACAATGGTTTCATTCAATTATGAGTGGAAAAATATAAAAACCTTTTTGTTGATACTGTTACTTTTGAGAAAGGGCACTATCCTAATGGAAATCAAGAAAGGAGCTATAGTTTCAAAGACACTTTCTAACTCTATTATGATTTCTAAGTAGGTACATTTGATTTTCCTTGTTGTAAATGTTCTTTGTACTTTCCCATAGTAAATACCTTTCTTCAAGGAAAGTGGTTTGTTTATCATCTTATACAGTTAAATCGCTATTCTTTTTTTTTTTTGTATATATTTCTCTGCATTATTCTTGTTAGTGAGTTTGCACTGAAGCCTGCTCAAATTGTGTCTTGAGGAAAACTTCCATACAACTTCTTACAAATAAACACAATAAAAATAAAAAGCAACAAGAGATGAGAGGGCTTTTAAGGTAGGAGCAGAGTAAGGCAGGGACCAATGAAGGGATGAGGTTGCTTGAACTGAAGGAGACATTAGTTTGGAAGTAGGAGAATAAATACCCAGTGTTTTAGTTTAGAGCTAATGTCAGCTGCTAATATTGAGAGGGAACATCTGAGGGGAGAAAAGACAGGGTAGAAATGCATAAACATGACTTTTTGATCAACTGACTTTATACCATATAATGGGATTGAAGCAAGAGAAGTGATTTTAATATGCAGAAGGTAAAATTTACTGAACGTTGTCACTAGTTGAAGGGAGTCAGGAGGAGGAAAAATTCCCATGGGAGGGATGCAGTATTTCCTGTTCCCAGAGGCTGCAGAAAATGTGGAGCAAGTCTTGCTATGGAAGTGAACCTTATAAAAACTTATGTGGACCTGTGATTCTGACTTCTGGGTCTTGGTCCAGCATTGCTTTGACTCAAAGCTGGTGCCTTCACAATCAACTGAGCTCTCCTTAGGGAAGCAAAACCTTTAGGAAATCAGCTCTCTGAACATCCAAAATCCTTCACAGGTCTGGCTGGAAAAACTAGAGAATGAAATGATATAACAAGTGGTAAAACTGTTACTAAGTCTAAACCAGGTGTGAAATTCTCCACATCATAGAGAGATGACTAAATGATGATGTCAGAGTTACAGGAAAGAAGTTGTTAGAAGTTATGTCAAATGGTCTAATAATAGCATAATCATTTAAGGAAGCAACAGCTAGCTATGCATAATGGCCCATGTTGGTAATTCCAGCTACTCAGTAAGTGAAGGCAGGAACAACATGAGTTTGAAATGGGCCAGGCAAGACCTTATTTCAATAACAAAATTTAAAAAGGGATTGCAGAAGAAACTAAAATAGCACACTATTTTCCTAAATTTAAAACTTAGCAGGCACACACACACACACACACACACACACATACACAAAACCAACAATACTACTAACAGCAATGGACTAGATGTCTCACTCTGGAATGAGGACAGCAAACAGGATAGACTTTCTTAGAAATGAGGATGCTGCCTTAAAAAACAATATGTACTCTGAAGTTCTCCACTGCAGGATAGAACTCAATGCTAAGCTCCCTTCATTGACTGGCACATTTAGGTGATGGCCCTAGACTTGGGTGCTTGCTGCCCAGGGAAGTACAGGCTGGATTTGGGGTGAGGAAGGGAGAGGCTTGTGGAACAAATGAAAAGCTTCCTGGTCCAGAGGCTGCAAAAGTTGTTCCTGCCAGCAATGGCTCCTGGTACACAAAGAAGGGAAGCTTCTCAAGTCAAAGCAGTCTAGAATTAGAGATCTGAGCAGTGACAGCACTCACCCTCAGCCAACATTTAGCATCGGCTTTATACACTAGGAACTACAAGAGACCCAAGCTAGTTTTCCTCTACCCAAATGCTGCTAGATGACAGATCTGGTACCCTGAGTATCTGGGTAAATATGTGGCTGCTTTTCTAGGCAGTCCAGTGGTGAAAAACCGCAACTCAACTCTGCCACTGCAACTGTCTGACTCCTGAGTAGATAACCAGATGATGATTAGGGAAAAATCAGACACTGCAAGAACACAAAATGATACGTGTTAGATAGCATACAATAATACCTCTGAAGGCTGATAGTCTCAATTCTCTATCGAATCAGACTGACATATGTTAAACTCTAAGACCAAGTCAGGCACTGGTGGCTTACACCTGTGATCCTAGCTACTTAAGAGAGTAAGAGCTCAGGATCTCAGTTTGAAACCAGCTTGGGTAAGAAAGTCCTCAAGATTGTAAGTTTCTATTAATCAACCAAAAAGCCAGAAGTGGATCTATGACTTAAGTGGTAGAGTGCTAGCTTTAAACAAAGTAAGTTCAGGGACAGTGGCCAGGCTGAGTTCAAACACCTAGATCAACAATAAACAAACAAACAAATAACAATCGATTGTTGCTTAGAAGAAATGTACTTTACTGGCAAAGAGACACAGGTTAAAGTAAAAAGATAGCAAATGGAGTCTAAAGCAATGGGTAGAAACTGCATTCATATATGATAGAGAAGACTTCAAACAAAAATTAGTAGAAGAGACAAAGATCACTTTATAAAGAAAACAATCCAATAAGAAGTGATGACCATAAACATTTGTATAGTGGACATAAGTGCAATCTGTTACAGACAACATTTCTGAGCATTATAGATACCCATATAATAATAGCAGTGATAGAAATAACTCACTCCTGCCAACAGACAGATCATCCAGACAAAAATCCAACAAAAGCTTCAGAATTAAGTGACACTGCAGCTCAAATGGGCTTTACAGACAAAACCAAATGAAAATGGAAATATAACTTACCAGAGCTATATTCTATCTACATTAAAAATCAGAATGCTTTCAAAGTAAGCTAATCATACCTCAGAGTATTAGAAAAATAAGAAAAATCCAAACTCAGAGCAGTAAATAGGAATAAGTAACATCAGTTTAGAAAACAATTAAATGAATAATAAAGGAACAATAAAAAAAATCAAATAGTAGAAAGATGAAGCTTAACAAATCCTTAGTGAAACTCACCAAAAGAAAGGAGAGAAGTTGCATGAATAAAATTGGGGACCTAAATAGTATAAAAGAACAATATTTTAATTCAGTTGATAATAATTAAAATTAATGTAATCAATGATTTGTTAGAGACCAGATAAGGCATGAGATACATAATATAATATGACCTAACTATCAATTCATAAATAAACATTAAGAGTCAGGTATTGCTAATACCCCCATTTGAAAAAAGGTATAGGAATTTTAAACAGTTTAGTTCAGATTGTTCAGTTCTATAAGGATTAGCACTCAGGGTTAGTCCTACTACTGTGAAAAGTGGGGAATCAACTGAAAACCTTGTCTCTAGGTAAATGAAAGAATGACATTTTTCTTAAGACTAATTCTTTTTATTTCTATCAGATGTCTAGAATATTTCGACGTTCTTCTGGAGGAGGTCGATACATCAAATCTCACGTTATCAAATTAAGGTATGTAGACTTGATGTGTAACTTCAAATCAAAATTGTTGAATGGGGTATTTGATTAATGTGATTGCTCAATTACACTGAGAAAATCTTAGTAGCAAAAGGATTTCATATATTTTAAGCAATGCAGATTCTATTTTTTCATCTTTTTCCTATCACAATTGGAAAGATGTAAAGAGCACATGAGACATGATATGATCCTGGAAAAACACTCCAGGAAGGACAAGAAATGAGATATTGCTGCTGACACCATCTGCCCTTTAGGCATGAAACTAAGAACAAATTTGGTCATTTATATGTTTCTCATTTTTATTACATTTTTAATTTAATTTATTTTATTATAAAGGTGATGTATAGAGGGGTTATAGTTATATAAGTAAGCTAACGAATACATTTCTTATCAAATAGTGTTAACCCTTTCCCTCATTTTCTCCCACTTTCCCTTCCCCAAGACTCCTATCCTCCAATTTGTATAGTTCATTTCCAACACAGTGTCTTGTGAGTATCACTTTTGTATTGGGTCACTCTTTGTCCTTTGACTCACCATTTTGTTTTTCCCCTTTCCTTCCCCAAATCAGATAAATGTGTATACAAGACACAGGGTACCAGAATCAAATACAGTGGCAACAGGGGATAAACCAAAGAAATAAAAAAAAAAGAGAGAAAAGAAATAACTTCACACAGTACATTAAAATAAACAAAAAGACCCTCTTGTTTCCATATCCTGGAGTTCATTTCATTTAGCATCATCTTATATGGTCATATGTACATAGCTATTGAGCTATTGTGATCCTCTGCTAGGACTATATTGGACATATACTAATTATTGAAAATGAGGGAAACCATGGAGCCTATGTTTTGAGTCTGGCTCACTTCACTTGATATTATTTTCTCCAAGTCTTTCCATTTCCTTACAAATAGGGTGATGTCATTCTTTATCCATTCATCTACTGAAGGGCATCTGGTTTGGTTTCATAGCTTTGTTATGGTAAATAACAATGAACATAGTTGTGCTGGTAGCTTTAGTGTGGACTTCTTTGTGATCATTTATAAACTTCTCTTTAATAGTTTTTTTTTCTGTAGTGTCAGTGCATTTTGTTATTATTTTAAATTCTTAACTTTAATTTTAGTGAAAATTAACATACATAAGTCTGGAGTTATGGTTTGATATTAAGTTAAATACTAGAATACATTATGGGGATATTTCTTACATGATTTCTAAAAGTTCTTAATTTCATATATGTATATAATGTATATAATGTTTATGTATTACTAAGGGATCCATTTCTTTTCTTGCTTTCTTGCTGTTCCTTTTTCTGTTCCTTTATTTTCTTTGTCTTCTCCCTATTTTATACGTTCCTTCCTTTTTTCATTTCTTTTTCTTTGTCTTTGGAAATCATTCTCAAAAGGTTGTTCAAAGCTTTCTGGCCCTACAAATCACAATATTACATTGTAAATTTTAATCACCAAACTAATGATCTTTTTATAAACTTCTCTTTCATTTACTAACCAAAGTATCAAACACTAAACTATTTGTGTATTGTTACAATAAAGGCTATTTTATTTTCATAGCACAGAACTCACTGGACAGTTTTGACAATCTCCCAGAGAGGCTAAAAAAATGCATTCTATGTGCTCATAAAGCAAAGGTCTGTTCACTGGGTTTGGCAAACAAAGGTGTTATCTCTGCTATGCAATCAGAAAAATAATGATCTTGGTTATAAATTTTCTCGGAACACTTTAAAAAGCAAATTCTTTAACTTCACAGAAAGCGTGATTTCATGATCATCTCACCCAGCAAATAATCACAGCAATGAGTTAAGAAAGGGCAGAGAATCTGATCATATTAAATAATATTTATCAAAATGAACTCCAGGAAATAGAAACAGGAGGGATTTTTTTCTCTTTGTTGCTGTTTTGTTTTCTTTTCCTCTTGTCTTGTTTGTTAGTTTATAATAATGATAAGAAAGTTGTTTTTTCTTTAAGAGAAAGGGCAGAGAATGGTCTTCTTTGGGAACCGTGGGCATGGGCACTGTTCCTGAGCAATTCAGCTCAAGGCAAGAGCTCTACCATTTGAGCCATAGCTCCACTTCTGGTTTTCTGGTGGTTAATTGGAGATAAGAGTCTCACAGACTTTCCTGCTGCTGCTGGCTTTGAACTATGATTCTCAGATCTCAGCCTCCTGAGTGGTTAGGATTACAGGCATGAGCCACTGACACATGGCAGAAATATATCTTATACAGTATTTTTAGCATGTTGCCTTTATTTCTTCTACAGTGCTTCTAACTTTCCCAATTATTGGACATCCACTCTTATTCCTTTGGTCTAGAGATAATTTAAGGTATATCATCCATTATACTTCTTTAAACTTAATGAGTTGGATCAGTCATTGGCATGATTTGTCTACTGTTTTGCTCTTTAGTCCAGATGAAAAAGGTGTGAACATTCTATTAGTGCTCATGTTCCGGTACCCATCTACTGATAGTGTTGAGCTAATCAAGAAAAAGATAGAAAGGAACTTATATCAAAGTATGAAGATCAAACAGTTACCTTTGACTATAAATAAACCATCATTTACACTCACACGTAAGTCTGATTTTTATTTGCCATTTTTGTAAGTACCTCTGCTTGTCTTTATTTTTCATTGGAATTTGGTTGATTCATTCTTTCATTTATGAATTTATACTAATACTACCAATTGATGTAGAACAAAACTAACAAACCAATTGATATAGAATAAAACTAACATAAGTATTTACTATGAGGTAAAATTTGCTATTAGATTATTTCTCTTTTTTAAACTAGGGCTTGTGAGAAAGCTTGAAATATTTTTTCCTATATGAGATGAGATTGGATTCTTACTAAGCTCAATAAGATAGGTATAATTTTCACTGTTTTATGGGCAAGAAAGTTAAAAGACATTGCATGATCCAATCCCTTGGAGTAAGTAAATGTAGGTATTGTAAACCATAGATGTCTTTACAGGTCAATTCTGGGAGTTAGTTTTTTCTTTTTTTTTTTTTTGGTTGGTCATGGGGCTTGAACTCTGGGCCTGGGCGCTGTCCCTGTGCTCTTCAGCTCAAGGCCAGCATTCTACCGCTTGAGCCACAGTGCCAGTTCTGGCTTTTTTTTGCTTATGTGGTGCTGAGGAATCGAACCCAGGGCCTAATGCATGGGAAGCAAGCACTCTACCACTGAGCCACCTTCCTAGCTCCAAATCTCAGTTTTTAATAATGTCTCTACAACATGATCATATATCCTAAAAATAAAATATTTATTTTAACATAGGTCCTATGGGTTCCCTTATTTGCAATTACTAGTTTATGTTTGAGACAAGCAGAAATGGTCAGGTAAGTTGACATTAGGTGAAATGAACCCCAAGATAAGGGAGGGTGGGAAATAGGAAGGGATGGTAAGGGGAAACAAAGGAGGAGGCAATAATACTTGATAAGCAATGTACTCATTACCTTGCCCATGTAATTGTAACCCCTCTGTATGGTATTTTCACAATAAAAAAATTTTTAAATGAAGAAAAGAAGCACCAAATTAAGAGAGGTAAAATCATTTTTTCCTTCTTTTAATTTCCACATTTGAATTAATGAAACAAAACTTCTCAAACCATTTATTTGTTTTTTATAATTTTTTAAAATTTGTTATTGTAAAGATGATATACAGAGGGTTTACAGTTACATAAGTCAGATAAAAGAACATTTCTTTTTGAACAATGTCACCCCTTCCCTCACTCTCTCCCAGATTTTCCCTCCCATCCCCATTCACAAGTTGTGTAGTTCATTTTCAACCTAGTATCTTTCCCCATAAGCAATACAGTTAACAAAAACAAAAACAACAAAAATATCTATTATAAAAATTTACTGTGCTGTTGAAGTTGTAGAATTTTTATTTGACAAAAATAACTTTTGACCTCAGTCACACACAATGATCATTTATTATACAGGTTGTGTGAAAACTAAAACAAGTATATTCTGTCATTATGCTCAGTAACAAGACATGTATTGTCTTCTGCCATACACATGCCACTCATTTAAAAAAAGATATCTTTAGGAAACTTCTAGAAGAGACTGGGACCTTCCCATCTTTGAATGTCATAGATCAAAGAGAGATACCCAAGAGTATGAAGCTTTGACAATCTCACTCAATCAAAGGAGCCCAAGAAACAAGGGCTCTGTGAGCTCCTCCCACTCTTTTCTCTTCTACTTGACTATCAAAGCCAAGCCACATAAACTAGAATGTCAAATCAGCTCATTAAACAGAAATATTACTCTAACCTTCCCTGAATTTCTGTGTAGGAGATGGTCAGAAAAAAATTCTGTTGCTCAGGGCTAGAAAGGTGGCTCAGTGGTAGAGTGCTTGCCTCGCATGCTTGAGGCTCTGGGTTCGATTCCTCAGCACCATATAAGCAGATAAAGTTGTGGCTCAAGTGGTAGAGCGCTAGCCTTGAGCTGAAGAGCTGAGGGACAGTGCCCAGGCCCAGGGCTCAAGCCCCACAACTGACCAAAAAAAAAAAAATTCTGTTGATTATGAGGCCCTCCTTCCAGAGGGTACTGCCTAGGGAAGAAAGAATACTGTTGTGAAGGATCAAGAAGAGACTGAACAAATAAGACCTGTTAGGCTTCCCCTCAGTCTGTTATTTTGAGATTATCTCCTCTTGTTTATTTGTATTTCTACAATACATGACCATGTGTTTGTTGCTAGACATAATTGAAATGGGAAATTTTTTCCTGAGTTTTTGTTTCTTGAGTCCTGAAAGGCTCCTATGTTAAAAAAAAAAAAAAAAAGGAGTTTGTGTATTTTCCCATACTAATCTATCCTAGTCCACTTTGTGTCAGAACACTGAGGAACTCTATAATGGATGAATACTTTTGTTGCTGCTGTTGTTTTTTTCTCCATTCTGGGAATGTCTGTGCTCCCCAGAAGTGACAGTATGATTTTTCCACTTCCTTGCTGACCAACAAAACAGAACCGCTACCAAGTCAACCGAAATCCAGTGTAACTACGTTTAAATAAGCAGGAATAAGTAACTCTGAAATGAGAAGGATGAGACAGAAGGTGTCATAGGTGTCTGTGTCATAGGTGGGGTCTTTGCACTGTGAGAGAGCATCCTGCACTGCCCATCACACCTGTTACCTAAGCCACAAACTTCCTGGCATTCCAAGGTAGAGACAGTCCTTAGTGAGGGTTGGTTATCACTCATTGTCAGACCCAGGCCTTGAAATTGGGTCCCCAGGGACAAGTGATGCCCTTAGCTTCCTGGATTTGCTCTCTCATTGCTGGTCATTGGAATGTGCCTGAACCATCTAGTTTGATAAAGCGGTGATTGTGATGGAAATTGGGGGTTGCTTCTTCAGTTTTTGCTTAAGCGCCAAAAGAAAGCAACCAAAGGCATTGATCTATATTCATTCTTTCCTAGTTTTATATTCTCCTTCTCTTTTTTCCTCCCTCCCTCCCCTCCTTCCTTTCCTTTCCTTGCCTTTCCTTTCCTTTCCCTTCCTTTCCTTTTCTTTTTTTGTGTGTTGTTGATACTGGGGATTGAGCTCAGGGCCTTGAACTTTCTAGAAAAGTGCTTCACCACTCAGTTATATGCTCAGTCCTTTTCTTTCTCAGATAGGGTCTCTTACTTTGCCAAGGCTGGCTTTGGACTGAAATCTTCCTGTCTCTGCCTCCTGAGTAGCATGTGTGCCATCATATCTGTACATTTTCTAATTTCTTTTTGTTTCCAAAGAAATATCAGAAAATCAAATGCTATCTGATTTTATTCTCAAGTGGAAATTTACAATTTAAACCAAAAATCATATGAGAGTAGAGGTTGATTGTAAAGCCCATGTTCTTTTGAAATATGAATGTCTCAGATAATCAGCATCTCTATTTATGAAACTTTGGCAAAAATAACATGAAAATGGGGACATATTTCATGCAAATTAATTCATATGTTCATATATTACAGCTATTGACAGCAGAAAGATGCGAAATCTTCTCAACAGTCGTAAGTTCCAAACCTCAGAAGTAACTGTTAATTTCAAGTACAGATAATGTTTAAGAGCTGCAGAAAAGTTAGTTTAATTTACCAAACATTTTGATAATTTTATGCTTTTATAGACAACTCAGTCTTTTTAATCTCTTAATATTTACCATATTAAATTTATAAGTTTATATCAAATAAGTATTCTACATATTATATTATTATTCTCTTTAAAAATTGCTCCATATTCTCTCACAATTCATGAGAATGCTTTAAACTAGTAATGAGCTAAGAATTTTCTTGCCATCTTACTGTTTTCTTCCATTTTTCTAGAAGTATTTGATATGCATATTTCTTCTTCCTTTGCCATTTGCCTTCCAACACTTCAGCATATTTTTAATTTTGGTAGACAAATATATGTCCATTAAAATATTTTTTTGTTTGTTTGTTTTTTGGTCCAGTGGTGGAGCCTGAACTCTGGGCCTGGGCACTGTCCCTCAGCTCTTCAGCTCAAGGCTAGCGCTCTACCACTTGAGCCATCGCGCCACTTCCGGCTTTTTTCTTTTTGCTTATGTGGTGCTGAGGAATCGAACCCAGGGCCTTGAGCATGCAAGGCAAGCGCTCTACCACTGAGCCACCTTCCCAGCCCCTCCATTAAAATATTTTAAGAGCACTTCCTACTTTCTATGTGTGTATGAAAGTAGAAAAATAAAATTTATCAAAGTTGTCATACAAAGGGGTGATCGGGTATGGGGGAGAGGGATGGAGGAGGTGAATTTGATTGGAATACATTGGCTGCAAGTATCCAAATGTCACAATGAAATCCCTTGTTTAATTAATATATGCTAATAAAATTGTCTTTAAAATATCTTTAGGGAGACTGATTTTAAAGTTTGACCAGTTGAAGATTTGACATGGAGGAATAAGAATTTTAAAAAGCTTATCCTTTAATTTTTAGAACTTAAAGAATATAGTTTTTTTAAATATAATTAATATAGTCCTTGCAAAAGAAGTAAATTAATTCTCCTTAGTTGTGTGAAGGGCTGTCTCTCCATTATAAAGAGTGCTATTTGCTGCTGGCCTGAATCTCCTAATTTTATTCAATTTTGTTGAATTAGCAATGTAATTAGTAATTTTGTTCAATTAGCAATGTATAGTCTCCTCCATGGTTTAGTTTTCTCATCTAAAATAAATGTTGCTAGAAATGTATCTCAACCATTTAGCAGGAGATCTATACATTTCTGAAGTACAATTAATTATCCATTGATAAAATAAAAATCAAAATAGTTGGAGGATGAAGAAAAATCCCTTCCTGCACATTAGATATGTGCTAACAAGGACAGGGTGCCACAAAGGCATTGCTTGTAACAGGAACAGAAACTGCCAGAGGGATTCTCAGTTATGATGTCTGGTTGACATTATTCATCGATGAATGTTTTACAGAAACAGAAGTCAATGTTTATACTGAATTCCTTGACATATTAGCAAATATTTCTTAGACTCAACACTGTGAGTAAGCTTTGTATAAAATAACTTCAGATGCTGAGTGATATGACTATGTTAGAGTGACTGGAGCAATGGATTTCCAAAGTAATTCTACCTAATACAAATCAGGATCTCTCTCTCTCTCTTCCTCTCTCTCTCTCTCTCTCTCTCTCTCGCTGTCTCTCTCTCTGCCTCTCTCTCTCTCTGTGTGTCTCTCTGTCTTTCTCACTGTTTCTCTCTCTCTCTCTGCCTCTCTCTCTCTCTGTCTCTCTCCCTCTCTCTCTCTCTCTGCCTTTCATGAGAGCAAACTAATATCTCTTTATGTGACAGGTTGTGGGATAAGGATGACATCTTCAAACATGCCATTACCAGCATCATCTTCTACTGAACGAATTGTCCAAGGAAGGGAAACCGCTATGGAAGGGGAGTGGCCGTGGCAGGCTAGCCTGCAGCTCATAGGGGCAGGCCATCAGTGTGGGGCTACCCTCATCAGTAACACCTGGCTGCTCACAGCGGCTCACTGCTTCCGGAAGTAAGTGTAATGGAGCATTTGTGAGCATCCTTTACGACTGCTGCATTTATTCGCTCTTTGTCCCTCCATTTCTGTGTAAGGGCAAGTTTTATGTCTATTAAAAACGATCCTGGTTGTTGAGAAAGTGTGGTTGTGAAACACTTCTTGACAAAATGTCCAATGACCAAAGCAGGTTGAATTGGCCCTACTTTGTAAGGCTTGCCTCTCTCGTTCACAATGTATAAAGGGATGGAACAATTCGACTTTGGATTTCCAAATAGTTGATGAGCTCCTCAATAGGAGGCATATTAGGTTACCATAGCATGCAGAATTCTAATAGCTAGTGTCTACCTTTGAAGTGAGCTCTACAATCCTAAAACTTCTGTTTGAATAAAATCTTCCCTTCGCATATGAATAAGTAAAATGTATGACAGAATTCCCTCCTCTGGGCCCAACTTGCCTGTTTCTAGGGCAGTACTTTGGAAGCCACCAATCTTTCAGGTTTTCATTATTCTTAAAGGTTGACGATTCACCAACATTGAAATCCCTCCCTTTTAAAATTCTTTTTGTGTGTGATTTCCTTCTTCAGAATTTTCCTCCACCCAGAAGACTTGAAGTGTCTGTGTATGTCCAATTATTCTTGGTGGCAATATATTTTTAAAGAGTTAAATGGCCTTTGGAGAAGAATTAGGAGGCATAAAAAAAACCAATAGATTTTGCCTGTGATCTAAGTTGTGGGAGGGCAAAGTGTCTGTGAGAGCAGTTTATAAGAGAACAAGCCATGCTAGATCAAAGAGGAGCATGGCTTGTTGTTAGGTCAGCTTAGCCTTGAATACAAGGGAGGGGACTGGGTACAGGTGAAGAAATAACTGTGTGTACACATGAGGGCTTACACAGCAGACAACATCTACCTAGCCTCAAAAAGCACAGTACAGGCCAGTAAACAAGAGCCAACAAGTAAGTCATAAAATGAAAACAAATGAAGTAATTGATGCAAAGGCATAATGCCTATTGATATGCATAGTATTTAAAACAAATAAAAATGTCTACTCAACTCACTGAAATTGAGAAATAAAGAAGAAGCAAAATCCAAAGAGTTCCTAACAAGACAGGAACTTAAAGTTTGAAAATGAATAAAGCCAACTAAATAAATTGTGTCTAATTATTTAATAGTAGGAAGTATTTTTCCTATAAAGTCATCAAGTATAAAGTCTCTAATCAGAGGGCTCTCTCAGGAGTAAAATTCCAAAAGTGGAGTAGAAATACAGTTGCATTTTTCATTTTATTAAAGGATAAAGTGAAGCATAACAAATCTTTTTTTTTTTTTTTTGTCTTCCAGGAATAAAGACCCAAGTCAATGGATTGCTACTTTTGGTACAACTATAACGCCACCTGCTGTGAAACGAAGTGTGGGGAAAATTATTGTTCATGAAAACTATAAACGAGAAACAAATGAAAATGATATTGCTTTGGCTCAGCTAACTAGCCGTGTTGAGTTTTCAAATATAGTCCAGAGAGTTTGCCTTCCAGATTCGTCTATGAAGTTGCCCTCAAAAACAAGTGTTTTTGTCACAGGTTTTGGGTCTATTGTAGATGATGGTAAGCATTCAACCTAGTTTTGTTAGTACAAAAATGTCTTCAGGTTGAACAAGCTTTTCATAAAAATAATGCTAATGCTTCCTACATGTATGTCCTTGGGCAAAACGGAGTGGTGGGTTGAAAAGTTAAAGAAATAGAGCTCAATCTTTGAGTTTACAAATGAAGTACTGGTAAAGGGGGATGACTGATATAGAAGAAAAGGATATGATATCAGAAAGAACAAAATATTATAGGAGTAACTAATTAAAAATTATATACTTCCTAGATACATATTTTGATCAGCATCAAACTCTTAACAGTAGGTTTTTGTTGCTTATTTGAATCAATTCTCATTTTCATAAGCATCTGTGATGTCCATAAATGTGAAAATAAGGTATGAATATTTTGAGAAATCTTATTTTTGTTAATTAACAGTAATCTTAATCTAGCACTTTTTCTAATGTTGCTGTACTGAGGCTTGAACTCAGAGCTTTGGGCACCCTACCACTTGAACCATACATTTAGCTCACCTTTCTGCTAGTTATTTTGGAGACAGAGTTTCCTAGATTTTTCTGGCCAGGCTGGCAGATCCTCCAGGTCTCAACCTCCAGACTAGCTAGGTTACAAGTCTGAATCACCAACACACTGATGTGTGTTTTTATATGATATATGTTTTGTGCTTCTACCTCTGAGAGGATACAATTTATGTGTCTTGCATGTTTTATATGCAATTATCTTTGAGAGACACTGTTTTGTTAACCTGTGTGCGTATGTTTGTATAATAGGACCAACACAAAATAAACTCCGGCAAGCCAGGGTAGAAACCATAGGCACCGATGTGTGTAACAGAAAGGATGTGTATGATGGCCTGATAACTCCAGGGATGTTATGTGCTGGATTTATGGAAGGAAAAGTAGATGCATGTAAGGTACGTTCAAAGTTAAGGTCAAAACTTCAAAAGAAATGTTTTCACCAGCTACTAACGTTGGCATATAGTTTATCTTGGAGGAAAAACAATGACATCTATTTCACCAAGAGCTCAGTTTATTTAATAATCCTAACAACAAATATCCTTGTATCAACTATTTAATGTGACTCGAGCCAAAGACAAAACACTTCCAGTTATAGAGTGAGATACCCCCACTGCCATAATTATCCCCATTTTTCGAATAGGAAATGAATCTATGGCTTCCACTTTTGCTCTTCACAATTTTATGCTGTATTATTTTATTAAACAAAATATCATATTTTCCCTCATAAAATAATGAGAAATGGCATTAATGTAAAAAGAGATTGTTGGGGGAACAGCAAAAGGACAGAATGCAAAAGAAGCATGTAAAAGAGCATGTATAATTGATTGACATTATACATTATATATGTATGTATACAGACCTATGTGCATATAACTATACAGGTACACACACACACACACACACACACACACACACACATATATTTGTCAAAAGGCACCATAAAACACATTTGCACATTTTTACATTTATGGATGCTAGTAACATAGCTCATTAAAAAACATCAACTTCTAAACAAGACTCAGAAAGCTCCACAGGGTTTATAATCTCCTATCTCTCCAGTCCTCTCCTCTAGTTCCCTTCTTGCTAGCCTCCTCCCCAACTCTGTCATCTCTCAGTGTTTACAATACTGTTCCATCTGCTGAGAATGTACTTCTTTTCCATTTGCATTTCATTTTCCTTTGTTTTCGTTCCAGGGCGATTCTGGTGGCCCTCTGGTCTATGACAATCGTGACGTCTGGTACATTGTTGGTATCGTAAGTTGGGGACAATCATGTGCTCTTCCAAAAAAACCTGGGGTGTATACCCGAGTGACTAAGTATCGAGACTGGATTGCTTCCAAGACTGGCATCTAATGTAGATGGTCCCATGAGTTATATGGTTCATGAAACTGAAACACTTACCTACATATTGTATATTATTATTTAGATTCATGAAGGTTGAACCAGTGTTTTTGCTAGATGTCAGGAAACTCTTCAGACCTGGACCAATTTAACATGTGGTGACTTCTTTGTATGAATAAGACCAAACTCTACCATGAGGGAAGAAGACACAGCAACGGACAGGAAGCACTGATTCCTCACTCACAAAGCAAACTGTGACACCTCTTAACGAAATGAATACCTCCCTCCATGGAGGATGGGAACATCATTTTCTATAGGAAATGAAGTACTGCTGGGCTGCCACAATCTTACCTCAGATGATATGTAGAACACCAGGAATTCTTGTTGGAAATAGGAAATGTCAGTCTTCCCTGAGGATTCAGGGCATCATCATTCTAAAAGTGATGACAGGACATACATTGGATAGAATGAAGGAGCACGGGGCCTGCAATATAACTTGAACTCTCAACCTGTATTTCTATGTAACAGTACAGAGCAGCAGAGTGCTGTCATTAACCTCAGGAACTATCATTTATTGAAATGTGTCCGAACTTGCCATCAATGTTTCAATATGCCCTCAAGCACTAGCTTTGGGAAGCATATTGTGTTGTTAAGAAGTATTTATGATTTACTCTTTTTAATAGTGTCTTGCCATTCCTACATCAAATTAAAGCCAGCCTAGAAAAAAAAGAAAACAAAAGACTCATTGGAGCATTTTTTATGAATATAAAAAGGACGTAAAGCTGAGCTGGTTTCAATAATTACTAGTACAGCAGAGTGCTAAGTTCTTCATGGAAGAAACTCTCTAATGATTTATCTAGAAATTATATCAGCCTATGGCTACTGGTGCTTTTTATTTTTTTATGTCTTTGGCTCTCTTACTGGTTGAGTGGCCATTGTGAGGTTGTGTGTGCTTTGTCTAAAAACACCGAGCATAATGTTTGGCATATGTAGGGCACTACATAAAAGAAAGGATCCACGTTTTAATATTCAAGAACTCAATTTAGTTAAATAAAGGAATGGCCTTGAAGTTTACCTGTAGCTGAAATTATAGTGTTGGACCTAGTGAAACAGCACAGATTGCCTTTGGACTAGGCTTCTGGGAATTTGAACCCATGCCACATATACACTTTGTTCTCATGCAAATCACCTAATTTTTCTGTTCACTGGCTTCTTCATCTGGACAATGGGAATAACAGTGATGCTACCTCACATGCTTGTTACGAGGATTAAATGCATTATTACAAGTATCGCTGCTGTGACTGCACAGAGCAAGCCCTCAAGATGGATATGCTACTATTGATCATAACTACTTTGCTTTGGATTCAATAAAACTGACTATATTTGTAAAAACAATTGCTCCTTTCTCCTTTAAGACAGCACAATTGATTTTATCATATGCTAAATGACATTGTAAAAATATAGGTGAAGGATTAGACTTCCAAAATCACTTTCATGACTCCTTAACTTCCTTTGAAATACATCTACTTACAGACAAGTAATCTATAGATCATTTAACTACAGGAATGTACCACTTGTATTCATTTTCCCACCTTCATCCGGGCACAATTGTTGCTCTGATCTGTCAGAGGAAAACCTGGCCTATCTGTTTTCTTAATGACTGAAAGTTTTGTTGGTTTACATGTATATGGGTTTCTATGTAATAATATATGTAACCAAAATAAATACAACTTAAAAAGTGGCCTAGATACTACTATTTACTTCTCAATAAGATGTAAGCATAGAAAGGTTTTGCATTAACACCTCTTCTTTTTCTTTTTTCTTTTTGTGTGTGTGAGTGCGTGCGCGTGTGTGTATACATGTGCATGTGCATATGCATGTGCTCACATGCGCTTGTCCTGGGGCTTGAACTCAGGACCTGGGTGATGTCCCTGAGCTTTTTGGCTCAAAGGTAATGCTCTACCATTTGTGCCACAGCTCCACTTCCAGCTCTATTTCTTGATAGTTAATTGAACAGTCTCATGGACTTTCTTGCTCTGGCTGGCTTTGAACCACATTCCTCAGATCTCAGCCCCCTTAGTAGTTAGAATTACAGGCATGAGACATAAGCACCTAGCCACTCCTCCCTTTCAAAGAGGAAATGTCTTCAAAGTTCTGAGTTAATGATTAGTAATAACTATCATCAGAGAAAGCATGGTAAAACCATTCTTACACTTCAATTGCTTAACTTCTCATAGTCTGCATATAGCATAGACATATCTAAAGATTTCTAAAAAAATTGGCAAGTAATAAATGGGCTTGATTAATGTTAGACTTTTATATATATATATATATATATATACATATATATAGTAAATATCTCTTTTGGTACACAGAGGAAAGCAAATCTGTCTATCAACAACTTACCTTCTGCTTTGTAAGTTCTAAAACAGTTCATGTATACTTTTGTGTAATTTTATTTATGTTTCATAAGACTATGACAATGTTTTATATATGAAGTTTCTATAAAACTATGTATACTGATTTAAATATTTTCATGCTTAATTAAATTAAAAAACATTTTAACACAAATGAAAAGAATAAATACAAAAGGCCATAAGGAAACCTGAGAAATGGAAAAGAGAATTTTTAAATGGCATTTATGTATTTGGAGTTTTGGTATTTACTGATGGGATATTCTAGGAATCATGTAATATCTTTTATCTCATGTTTTATATCTGTTAAAAGGAACAATAAACTATAATGGGTTGTGTGGGTTTTTTTGATAAATAATACAGTTGAAAAGTTAAAAATGTTTAAAACCTGCTCAGAAGATATAATGTATATTATTGTATTAATACAGATGGTATTGAAAATATAATAAGATTATAAAAAGCTTAATTTGTGCTTTTCATAGTGTTGGCATTTGTATTGCTTTGTGGATTTTGTAAGCAAATATGTGGTTTAAAATAAACAAGTAAAAAACAGCAACAAACATTAGGTTTTCCTGGGGAAAAAAACATTAGTAATTTCACTAAGCTCTATACTTTTTTCTACACTCTTTCAGATTCATTGTTTTCAGAGATAGATCAGATGCACTATTAATGCAAAATAAAATCATTGCAGAATCTTAATTCTCATGACTGTCATAAGAATGAAGGGTTTGGGCTGGGAAGCTGGCTCTGTGGTAGAGTGCTTGCCTCGTACACACAAGGCCCTGGGTTTGATTCCTCAGCACCATATAAGCAGAAAAAAAAAAGATGGAAGTGGTGCTGTGACCCAAGTGGTAGAGCGCTAGCTTGAGTGGAAGAGCTGAGGGACAACGCCCAGGCCCAGAGTTCAGCCCCACAACGGACAGAAAAAAAAAATGAAGGGTTAGTATCCAAATATAGAACAACATTGGATCAGAATTTTTAATAGTCAACTATTGTTTTTTTCATTATTCAACAAGAAGAATAACATAAATATATTAACGGGAATTTAGCTTTTCAATGTAATAAACTCGTGTGTGTGTGTGTGTGTGTGTGTGTGTGTGTGTGTGTTGGTCCTGGGGCTTGAACTCAGGGTCTGGGTGCTGTCCTTGAACTGTTTTTACCCAAAGCTAGTGCTCTACCATTTTAGCCACAGCTCCATTACTGGCTTTTTGGTGGTTAATTGGAGATGAGAGTCTCACAAACTTTCTTTCTTGGGCTGGCTTTGAACTGCAATCCTCATATCTCAGCCTCCTGCATATGCAGGATTACAGATTTGAGCCACTGGCACCCTGCATTGGTTTTTGTTAATATGTTTGTTTGACAGAAAATGATGTTTAGTGGTATTCCTTTGTGCAATCTGGAAAATGAAAATGAACTTTTCATAAATAATTGAAATTAATGCTAGAGTCATAGCTATTAGATCTAGGAATCAACACATCAACATTTTTTTCTGAGTAATGTGATATCTAAGCCAAATACATTTCTATAAAGTTATACAGTGGGCTGTAGCCAGTGTAGGAACAGAAATTCGAAGTTTTTCTATCCAGTCCAATTTTGTCTTCTCCTCCACTGCTGTAGTCCAATTATGTAGGCACAATAGTCAAGAACATTACAATCCTAGAATTCACCAAAATTAAATGATCATTGCTAAACCACTGCTTATCCTTGTGAAACATAAATGTGAGGTAGGCTAAATTCACATGCTGTTCAAGCAAAGTGGTCATATAACCAAACAAGTTTTATGATTAAGACAACAACTCACTTAAAATTATATTCAAGTATAACTAAGAAAATGAAGGCTGTTTGGAGGTATCTGGTCTTCAGGCAGTTTAAAGCCCATGAAATCTTATAGACACATTGGCTGCCCACATCCTGTCTGTCTGTACTGATAATTTTGTGTGACCAGAGAATGATGATATAAATATTCAAATGGTCCTTGGCAGAAAAAAAAAGATTTGTTACCTCTGGTTAGACAAAGCTGCTTGCTAAATTAATTAAATTGTAATTAATACTCAATGTATTCATCCTCACTTCCAAATTTACATTGTATTTTTTGCCTTACATTTTTTTGTCTTTTTTTTACCCTTTACATTGAGCTTTAAAGTTATGAAGTAACTTGAAGCCTTCACATGGTTCAAGTAAAACATTTATGCAATGTTTTAAAATGAAAACAAAACATTTTCAACTTTATCAAAACACATGTGTTTTTTCTCTTCAGTGTTTTAATGACCTGTTAGAAAAATCTGTTTGACAAATTAAACTACAGAAGCCCTTGACATACAGAAAACTAAAAAGAGGTTTTGATTAAGCTGCTTTTATAAATGCTTACACTCAATATCTTTATAGATTTCAGTACTTTTCTTGTACTAATGATGTAACTACAGATAATAAGCAAAGATATAGCACATGATTTTAAAAGAGAAATATACCTTTGTTTTAGCTGCCTACAAGCCACCAAATGGAACTATCATCAATCTACCTCATGAGGTTGTGAGGCTTTTTTGCTGAATTGTAAAGTACAAAAATCAAAGAATATTTCAAATATATTCAAAAAGAATA